AGAGAGAGAGAGAGAGAGAGAGAGAGAGAGAGAGAGAGAGAGAGAGAGAGAGAGCCGATACTGTAAGCATGTGAGCAAGCACACATGCATTGCCCTTGAAGGCGTGTAGAGAGCACACACACACACGTACGTACACGCAGCCACGCATGCACACGTGCACGTGTTCGCTGTACATGTAACCTTTGTTGACGGCTGATCAATAAACGCCTGTGAAGATTCTCGGAGGCAAAAACATCGCAGCGTCTGTGGCAAAATCGTCGATAAGTGTAAAAAGCTCCGGCGATGGCACACTGAGCTCGTGAGTGCGTGTGGTTTCATCGCCGTTGCCGTTGCCGCCGCCGTTGCTGCTGCTGCCGCCACTGCTGTCGCTGCTGCCGCCGTTGCTGCCACTGCTGTCGCTGCTGCTGCCGCTGCTGCTGCGCGGCGCTTTCCGTCATATGCTCCCTTCCCCCACCAACAAGTGCCAAAACAATAATAACAGCTCTCAGCGTCTCTCTATTCACTCCTCGCTCCCCGATCATTTCTGTTCTCCATGCTTTATCGAAGGTGCTAAATAACCTGCACATCGCACGTCTACTACAAACGCAATCGATATTGGCTATTTTAAGCACATACTTATAAAGGTGCAGTCTCTGTACAGTATCGGACGAGAAAAAGATCTTTCGGATGTTATTGATCAATGCACATGAAACTCTCTCACTCGTTTTCTTCTCTATCTCTCTCTCTCTCTCTCTCTCTCTCTCTCTCTCTCTCTCTCTCTCTTTCTCTTTCTCTTTCTCTTTCTCTCTCTCTTTCCCTCTCTCTCAATTAATTGCTCAACATTTTTCTCTCATTAAATAGCTTTAATTAAAAACTCACGAAATTACACGCAGCGCATCTCTCGGTCCAGCCAACAATCACATTCACCAGTGCCTGCCTGGCTGTTTGTTTAGCAGAGCCATGCAAGAGTGTTTTCCAGCGGATCATTATATTATTGCGCGCATAGGTGTGTCGATAAAGATACATGTACCTACCACCTTCGGCGCGCGCACGCTACCCTACGCCACAGCGCTCAACGCTGAAGGTCATGGAGAGCAGTCGCACGCCAGCGCCGACGTCAGGGTAGAGTTTAATCTCATTTCCTATAATGAGTCGCCGAGGAACAAGAGCCGCGCTAGACATGGACTGAGCTATTTAAGACGCCCCTCCCGGTATCAGGACGCCTGATCGCTATCTCGCTATAATAAATCGGCTATAACTTCTAAATGTATGCACGCCGGCATGCTCGTCCGCGGGCAGATATATATGATATCAGAAGTAGTTCCCTGATATACGTATATAGTATCATATATAAGTAGTTCCCTATTATCTACTTCTGATGATATCTATCGCCGCACGTTAATCTGTCGTCCGCGCTAAGTGTGAGCGCATGTGTTATTAGCTAGCTACCTGTGGCGCACGCATCGCTCGCGGCGTAACAGCAATAGCACCAGCACCAGCACCAACAGTAGCTGCAGTAACAGCAATAGCACCAGCACCAGCACCAACAGTAGCTGCAGTAACAGCAATAGCACCAGCACCAGCACCAACAGTCTAGCTGCAGTAACAGCAGTAGCACCAGCACCAGCACCAAGAGTATAGCAGCAGTAGTAGCAGTAGCAGCGCCAGCACCAACCCCAGCAGCAGTATAGTACCAGTAGCAGCACCAGCACCAGCACCAACAGTAGCTGCAGTAACAGCAGTAGCACCAGCACCAGCACCAAGAGTATAGCAGCAGTAGTAGCAGTAGCAGCGCCAGCACCAACAGCAGCAGCAGTATAGTACCAGTAGCAGCAGCAGCAGCAGCACCAACAGTAGCTCAGCAATAATAGCGGTAGCAGCAGCAGTGGCTGCAGCCACAGCAGCAGCATCAACAGCAGGGAAAAGAGGAGGAAGCGGAGCTGAGGAGCAGGAGGAGGGGGAGAATGAGGCGCAACAGCAGTTGTAGCATTGAAACGACAATCGAAGCCTTACACTAAAATGTTAATGACCTGGTGGAAGGACCAAGGTGATTAGCGTTAATGGAAGAGTAGATAACCAAGTCGAATGATATAAGATTCAAGATTCAAGATTTTTTTATTTGTGCTAAACGAGGATAATCAAACAGTGGGAAAATTAAACAGTTATATAACTTTGTTAATATAAAGCACAGGTATGGCGAAAGAACCTTGCGGTCATCGAGCCAGCCATACACTATATTTACAGTACATATTGCTTTCCAAATGATATCTGATGTAAAATTCGAGTTTTATTAACAGAGACAGTCGATAATTGATAATTTACATGTGACATCTCATTCGGTAATCGTTTCTAACCAGCCCAATGTACAGACACAAGCACTAAGCGATAGCGAATCGGTTTTATACAGTTATGGGTTACTAGTAAATACATTTATTGCAGGAAACAAGGCTAAACCACCCTAATACAGACCGATACCTGCAGCAAACGGAGGGAAGCAGGGAGAGGGAAGGAGCAAGGTGGCGAGAGAAAGAGAGAGAAACCGAGACAGAGGGGGAGACAGAGCGAGAGCGAGAGAGAGAGAACGCCAGCCGGACATACATACGGGACGGACGGACGGACGGACGGACGGGCTGAGCAGGCAGACAGATCTACATAGAGAAGCAGACAGACACAGAGACCGAGGCAAGAAGAGTGGGGAAGGAGACAGAGAGTAGAAAGAGTGAAAGTCATAGGGAGAAGGAGCGCGAGTAGAAGAGAGAAAGAGCCAATGAAATAGAGAATAGGAGATGGGCTATTGCCATATATAGCTAGCGACGGACAAAATTTATAGGAAAACGTGGTTTACACATTGATGGTCACAGGTTTAGATACATCTAACGAGTGCACTAGCGCCGTCTATTCGAAATGATAGGTTGCGGCAATGCCCTCTGTCGACGTAAACACGTTCAGGCAAATACGACTCGGTTCCTACTGAAATTTACTAGATGAAATGATTTCATTGGCCGACTAACCAAGTATTTATTGGACACGAGAATGTGCTACAATGTTCTGACACTTGTTTATAGCCGGCATCTGGCGGGCTGGTCCAACGCGCTGTTATTTCATTTCATAACTCCACAATCACTCGCAAATAATGCCTGCTGCCCCCCCCCCCTGATGCGTTACCACGTATACATGAGCGTGCGTGAATCTTACCCGCCCGACTCCACCCACATGCGTACGTCCGTGTGCGAATAAAAACTCGACCATTTCGAAGCTGAAATAATACGCACGCACGCACACCCGCACGCACGCACACAGACACAAACACACACACATACATACATATATACATACATACATACATATTGGCGACAACTGAATGAGCACGGTTACTGTACGTGCGTGTGTTCGCCGACACCGCCGCCACACCGTCGGCAACGCTAGCCGACCCCCTTCGGCACCAATCCGGCGTATACATGCCACGGAATTTCCTTTCACAACAAAATTAGTTCGCGACTCAAAAACAGCATTTGGCGGCAATCGGGTGAGCTATCAGGCGAACGGATATCTAAATATTACGCGCGTATCTTGGATACGGAACACGCGCGTACCACCGCCGCGCCATACATGCGCACTACGTGCCTCCTCTACACGCGCACAACACCAT